CTGACGTGTAGGCAATGGTAGAGGGAGGGACAACAGTTGAGAGGCTGAGGCTGTTCACTGGTAACCTACTGAGGGTCAGGGCCAGCACTCAACTTACTACTGAACACAGTAAGCTCTACCTTGTCAACTGAGCCATTTCTATTTCATTTTTCTTGGTAAATCAAATCAATAGAACTTAACGTGACATATTAGCTTTAATATGAGCTATTCTAAAGGTCATTTACGCCATTTATTGGTGGAATGCCCAATTTCATTTTCAAAAATGGGTGGTTTTTATGTTGAGCTCTGGCCTGTACATAGCAGCCAAAGGTTCAATGTTATCAACAACTTCCTCTCCCTCCTCTTGCACAGGAGGAGACGAGTAGTAGAAATGGTCCCACATCCAGTCATACAAACTTGAGAAGTCTGGATCTAATTCTGACCACATCACTGCTGCCCTATCCTACCTCTAATTGGACAAAGCAAAACGGACTCCTATCAGATCTCTAAAACTTTGGGGGCAAGTTTGGAACTGGAGCCAAACTTTGCAGCTCAGGCCCAAGATCTAATGAAGAACTGAGACCTACCCACAATAATGCAAAGGATGGGGTTGAGATTTTGGCATCAAGGTTCTCAAAATTCCAATACAGGGTGGAGTACAGTAGCACAGCATCAATCATCCCTCAAAGCAGAGGAAGTTGATCATCTGCAATATGCCTCAGGGCATGTCTACACTGCATCAGGGAGCAAGTCGCCCAGCCCAGGTCCACAGATCGGTGCTTGCAGGGCTTGTGCCGGTGCTCCAAAAACAGTTGTGAAGACGCAGCTTTGACACTGCGGCTCAGGCTGGAGCTCTGGCACTCAAGCCCACTCAACTTCCCCCAGGCTTCGGAGCCCGAACTCCTGCCTGAGCCATAATATCTACACAGCTATATCTAGAGCACAAGCCTTGCCAGCACAAATCTGTGGATCTGGGCTGGGAGACTCGCTTCCAGATGTGGACATAGACGTGCACTTAGAGACTAAGAGCAGATCACCACTGAATGCTCTGAAAGATGTTCAGAGTTCTTAGCCGTAAGCAAAAATATTCTATAGTGCACACGGTGATCCCACCTTGTGCAGGCAAGAATTGCTGTAGCTAAGCATCACGGTATAGGTCTACAGCCTGTGGCAACAAGCATCGGAACCCAGGTTGACAGGCTCTCGTTTGCGCTACCATACTAAAAATAACTGTGTCGATGTTGTGGCTCGGGCTCTCAAGTCTGGGAAGAAGATGCTATTTTTAGCATGAGTCCAGCAAACCCAAGTCTGTTGACCCAGGTTTGGAGGCTCCCTGCCACTGGCTGTGTAGACATACCTTAATTCTTCTCAAGATCTCAGGAAACCCTTAGTAGCCACATAGCTATCCATCTTTTTCTCTCCCATCCTAGTATGGTAGATACTGCAGTACCTCTAGCTCCCACTTTGAAAAAAAAAAAAAGAGCATTTAAAGGCATATCAACATGTTCCTGTAGCTGCATGTAATTTTTTTCTTCCATCTGACCTGAAATATAAGGCGACATGGCAAAAAATTGTAAATGCCCTCTATGTAAACATCTCTATTGACATCAGCAGCTGTAAAGCCACCAAAACATCTTCATTTGGAAACACCTGCAAAGGCATTTAAGAATGTATCGCTGTATGAGAAATCTATTTTGTTTGTACAAAAAATACTGGAGTCTCTTCTTTAAACTGTTTCCTTAAGAGACCATCAGCTGAAAAAAAATAAGAGATAGTATGCCAGTTACCAGCATCAGGATGCTAAACCACATGAAGCCAGTCTCACCCCACAAACAGTGGTGACTAATATGATCCAGGGGAGATGATTTAACAGGTTTATTCATGTAACAGGATGGGTGGTTGCTGTATCTCCCCACTTCTTACACATTATAGGAATTCTCTCATTTCAGAAGAATTCTGTGCCAAAGCTGCTCTGAGAAATAAAGGATCTAAAGGTTTGACACAGGTATACTCATGTTGTGGGTATTTGTGTAGGCTGTGCATGCACTTCTTACATACATGTTTGCAAAGAAAGTATTACTATCATATGTAGATTCTGCAGTCAACAATTGACTCAACTCTTAAAAGCTAATTTAATTGTGATTAGTTAACTAATAAACAAAACCCACAATATTCATAATACAGCATTAAAGTAATTCTGTTGTGTAATTTCTATACAGGATGAAAGGAAAACTGTGCAAAACAAAGCCACACTTAATTAGCCTTTGGATATTGCTCTGGTGTTAGACACCCAGCCTACAGATTTGGTGTCAGCACGACTCACCAGGACATCCCAAAAAACGTGATTTTATATTAAATATAAAAAACTATATTAAAAGAATGTTAAAGTTCCATAGTCAATCACCCAAGAGTTTGGAAATGCCAGAAATAAGGGTTGCCTGAGCAACCTTAATTCAGCCCCCTTCCACCAATGCATTATATTACAGTCTTTAATTACAATGATCACATATGATTTTTTCCATAGGACCCAGGCCTCCTTCAGTGCACAGTATGGACGATACTCACTATTGAGCAACTATTCAATATTTTGCTTTATCCTCATTGTTCAATGTGTGACATCCCCCCACCCAATACCTCGGTTGCAGTGCACTATTCAAACCCTTCAATGAAAACAGAATTTAATAGTTCCTTCTGGGCTTTTCTACGGCACTCATCACTTTAGTATCCAAGTGCTTCACAAACTTTCATTTATTTTCACAAGTCCTCTCTAAGCTGGTGGGGGATTATCCCCATTTTACAAATGGGAAATTGGGGCACAGAGAGATTAAAGTAAAAAGTTTCCACTAATTTTGGGTGCCCATTTTGAGATCATTTAAGGCCAATTTTCCAGAGTACTTAGTAGTATACAGCACTCCATATTTTTAAAGTACAACTCCCGTTGTCTTCAAGTGCAGACGTAAGTACTCTGCACATCTGCAAATCAGATGCCATAATCTCAAATTGGGCACCCAGAAAATCAAGAACACAGCCAGTAATGGAAGCGACTCACCTAGCATAACATAGCAACTGTGACAGAGGCAGAGATAGAATCTAATTCCTTGGGGCAGTATTCAACTGTTTTAACCACGAGACTTCTCTCTGCTTCATTCAATCCAAACCTTTCAACTTCTGCAATAAATGGGGCAAGAGCCCCACAGACCACAGCCTTTCACTAGATAAACCTCAGTCATTCTTTGCACTGAATGACGTAGGAGTCCTGTGGAAAAAAAGTTAAGTGATCATGTTATTAAAGACTCTGTCATGTGCATTCACTGTCCTGGCAACCTTAATTCTAGCATTTCCTAATTTGAGTGCTTGACTTGGCAACCTTAATCAGGGGTGAAAGGAAAATGCAGATCTTACCGGTAAGGGGTGCTCTGGCCCCCCCGGAAGGGGCATGGCCTCGGGCAGAAGGGGTTGGGCTGGGAGTCAGCATCCCCCAGCCAGTCCATCTTTGCTCCCTAGCCCAGGGCTCCAGCAGCCATTTAAAGGGCCAGGGACTCCGGCAGGCGCAGCCACAGTAGCAGCAGCCGGAGCCCCGGTCCCTTTTAAATCGTGGTCCTGGGGCAGCTACTTCTCCCGCCCGGCCCCCTCTCAGCGGTTGTGAGCGGAGGGGCAAAAGGGGCAGCAATATTACAGCACTGCCCTTTTTGCACCCCCCATCGGCGGCCCTGCTGGGTCATCGCTGCCCCTTTTGCGCCCCCCCATTGGCAACCCTGCTGGCAGGGACCCGGCAGGGCCGCCAGTCGGGGGCGCAAAAGGGGCAGCAACGTTAAAGTGCTGCTGTGGCAGGGAGTTAAAGTCAGTGGTATGGGCCGGTACTGGCAGCTACCTTTTACCAGTACGCCATACCGGCCCGTACCCCCTTACTTTCACCCCTGACCTTAATAGTCTTCTGAAACTGAAAGAGACAACTTCCATCATGTGGACCATATTAGCATCTACAGGGTTTGAACCTTTAGGTTCACCACACAGACCTCTGTTATTTGAGCTAACAGAGTAGCCAATAGCAGTGGTAAGTTGTCATTTTGTATGTGGACCAGCACTAGAAGGGAAGAAGACAACTCGCAAGAGGGTTTCACAAATATTTGCTGACAGCAGAGGAATGGTGAAACTCACAAAACTTGGTTTTCATTCCAGGCTCTAGAGAAGAGTGTGTTCTGTGGACACAGCCCCTTCTGCCCATCTCCTCCAAAGCATGAGCCCTCCTGTCCCAATCCCCTCCAACCTGTTCCTGTCCCAAGCCTCCCCTACCAGCTCTTCCTCCCAATCTCTTGCATTTCTAGACTTCTTATCCAGCTTTTGTCATTCTAGGCAGGCTGTTCCTCCTTCTCCACACTGCCTGAGCACCAGCAGGGGAAGAGTGTAGAGCACAGACTCTGATCACTCTTGGTTTCCTTGCCCAACACCACAGTGGTACTTGGCTACCGAGACTGACCTGCTCAGCCCCCACAACCCTAGGCTGGAGTATGCCCACTGCAGATGGAGGCCATGTCTACACTACAAGTGCTACAGCAGCATAATTTCGGCACCATAGCTATGCCGCTGTAACTCTGTAGTGTAGATGCAAACTGTAGCAATGGAAGAGGTTTTTCCATCGCCATAACGACACCAACTCCCTGAGCAAGGCGGAAGTAGCTGCATCTACACTGGGGGGTTAGCGCAGCATAGCTACAGGATTCAAGGGTATGAATTTTTCATAAGTGTAGACCAGGCTGGAATCTTTGGAAAATTTAGCTGCCAAGCTATACTAACCTCTACTGAGCATGTCCAAATAGAGATATTTCAAAGGCTTATAACTTGGCCAAATTAAGGTGTCTCCCACCTCCCCCCCCAGGAACAGCAAAACACACATCCTTGACAGCAGGACAACCCCACACCACATGTTACGCCCCTGCTCCAAAACATGGAGGCGTTACAGCTTCCCAGTGAAATAGTTGCAAGAATTATTTTATCGTGGGGAAAATACATTTTTCTCTAACCTTGTTCTTGATAATGGCCAAACCATTATTGCTGAAGCTTTCCAGAAACATTCAGTCTGGGGCAGAGACTCAGCATGGAAAATATCAGTCTAAACCGTTAAAATTTGGCTAAGTTTTAAGCAACTTGAAAACAAGATAACACTTGGCAATCTTAACTGTAGGCAGCACTGCTAGCTCCGCCTATGATATGAATAAACAAATGATAAAAACAACTGTTTGACTTTGTCTGAGACTGCACCACCTGCAGGAGAAAAAGAAAATCTAGCCTCAAGAAAACCTACAAGATCTGAAAGTGAAGTCTGTGATAATCTAAAACGATTTAATTGAAGGTCCAAGCCAACCAAATCTATCAACAGTCTTCAAGCCTGATATGCTGCCACAGAGCCAGGACAGCCTAGGCAAGGAGTAAGCCCCACTAATAAAGCCCCAAAATCCTTGCATCACACTTTGACCACAAAGGCCTCACTCATGCAACTTCTTGCATGGGAACAGACTACTGTGTCCATGTAGAGACCCACCGTCTTCAGTGACAGGGGCTCAGTGCTGCCACAGCAGTCCTACCATGTGCAAGATGTTGCAGGATTGGGGCTTAAGGCTATTCAGATATAGTTATCTCTAGGGCAGTATTTGCTATTAAGCCGATGTATTGTCATAGAGATTTCAGTCCCCTGTCATACAACACAGCAACTCCTAGCTTGTGGGGGTGTTGTAGCCATGTTGGGCACAGGATATGTGAGAGAGATATTACCTCACCTATCTTGTCTCTCACAGCAGCTCCTGACCAGCCTCACTAGTTAACATAGAGGGACAGAGAAAACTGCTTGTTTGCCTGCACCTAAGCAAAGGAGATAACAGCTTTTAAAAGATTTGCCAAGTCTCGGCTGTTTCCTAGGGCAGCTGCAAAAATTTATACTCGTCAGCTTTATATCTCACAATAATTTGTAGACACAAAGATCAAACATCTTACAAAAGGCTGCTTTGTGTTACAACAAGCTTGCAGGAAAAGCTCTCAAGGCATCGGAAAATAAGGAAGTTTTGTGCAGCAGCACTGCCGCCTAATGTACAACACAGGAATTTCAAGAAAAAAGCTTTTAGTTATTGATCAAAGTTCTCCATTTTCCTTGGTCTTTTCTCTAGCGGTTCCCACCAACTATTCTGCCATTTATCAGACAATTTCCTGCTACTAAAAAAACCTCGACAATGGGGGATTTCAATTATCCCCATATTGACTGGGTACATATCACCACAGGAAGGGATGCAGAGATAATTTTCTTGACACCTTAAATGACTGCTTCTTGGAGCAGCTAGTCCTGGAACCCACAAAAGGAGAGGCAATTCTTGATTTAGTTCTAAGTGGAGCACAGGATCAGGTACAAGAGGTGAGTATAGCTGGACTGCTTGGTAATAGTGACCATAATATAATTAAATTTAACATCCCTGTGGCAGGGAAAACACCACAGCGGCCCAACACTGTAGCATTTAATTTCAGAAAGGGGAACTACACAAAAATGAGGAGGTTAATTAAACAGAAATTAAAAGGTACAGCACCAAAAGTAAAATCGCTGCAAGCTGCATGGGAACCTTTTAAAGACACCATAATAGAGGCTCAATTTAAATGTATACTCAAAATTAAAAAACATAGTAAGAGAACTAAAAAAGAGTCACTGTGGCTAAACAACAAAGTAAAAGAAGCAGTGAGAGGCAAAAGTATCCTTTAAAAAGTGAAAGTTAAATCCTAATGAGGAAAATGGAAAGGAGCATAAACTTTGGCAAATGAAGTGTAAAAATATAATTAGGAAGGCCAAAAAACAATTTGAAGAACAGCTACCCAAAGACGCAAAAAGTAATAGCAAAAAAAATTTTAAGTACATCAGAAGCAGGAAGCCTGCTAAACAACCAGTTGGGCCATTGGATGATCGAGATGATAAAGGAGCACTCAAGAACGATAAGGCCATTGCTGAGAATTCTTTGCATTGGTCTTCATGGTTGAGAATGTGAGGGAGATTCCCAAACCTCAGCCATTCTTTTTAGGTGACAAATCTGAGGAACTGTCCCAGACTGATGTGTCATTAGAGGAGGTTTTGGAACAAATTGATAAACTAAACACTAACAAGCCACCAGGATCAGATATTATTCATCCACACAGGGCCGTCCTTGCGATTTATGGGGCCCTACGCAGTATTATTAAACTGGTGCACCTATGCAAACTCCCTCCTCTCTTCCCTCCCACACCCTGCTCACCCACTTCCAGCCAAATCCCTGAACCCTAATGAAGCAAATGACATTTGAAAAAAAAACACTCTTCTGCAATTTCTTTCTAAAGAAAATGAAGCATGTTTTCCACTGCATGCCAGATGGTTAAGACTGGACATGCAGGAGGTACCTAATTAAAAGCACTAAATTTGGGAATAAAAATGTCAGTCATGGGGTTTTGATATGCCCTGAAGTTTGTCAGAGATCTATTTGCAAAAACTCTGTAGTAAGGATGAGTCAGTTGTCTTGCTGAATACAACATTAAATGTTATGGAATACATGATGCAGCTCTTCTCTGTTTTACATTTTCTTAATCAGTATTTCTAAGTTCATTTTATATTTTAAATGTACTCTTAAGCCTTCATAAAGTAATCATTCCAGACTACTACATATTTAACTCACTGAAGCAAGGACATTATTTTAAATTAATTAGTCACAGAGGTTTAGTGTGTTCCTAACAACATTCGTTGCTTTTAGAAAAAGGGAACACTAACTTACTTTGTGTGATGATATTTCACCAACTTTAAAAAAAGATGTTTCCAAAGATTTTAGGCATAACAAAGGATTTTATATCTTACTAGATACTGATTTTGCTGGCGGGTTCTCTTAAAACTAGTTCATCAGACAGAAGTAAAGAGAGGGAAACTCTTTGTCCAACTAACTGGAAGAAAAGGGGTGTTGTCCCTTTACAGGCTCTCTTCAACGAGGGGAGAGGGGGGTAAAGGGAGAAAGGGATGGACAGAAAGGACAAGAAGACTTTGGAAACAAATTTTTTTCACTATAGTAATTAAAATTAAAATGTGTATTTTAGATAAGGGTGGTCTTTTGAAGGATTTATTTAAAAAACTGTATGTCTGAAGATCCAATCATTTAAGGCTAAAGATGATTGTACATCTAAAAATCTATGCAAGAATTTTTTAGAGACGTGATTTTATAATCTTCATCAACTTCACAAATAAAATATTTTTAAAGCAAATTTTAAACTGAGGTCCTGGAGACTAACATGTTCTGAGTAAATATTATAGTAATGCACAACTGTTTTTGTCAGTAAAATTCAGAAACTGACAGTATATATCTGGGGGTTGGCAAATGTCTGTTAAATGGCTTCATTACCACTTGAATGGCTCTTTAACAGGTTCAATGTTGTGCCAATAGGTCTGGCAGTCTTAAAGGCTTTTTCACTTAAGTTACTAGATCTTGCATCTGAAGAAGTGGGGTTTTTACCCACAAAAGCTTATGCTCAAATAAATCTGCTAGTCTTTAAGGTGCCACCAGACTCCTTGTTGTTTTTGTGGATACAGACTAACACGGCTACCCCCTGATACTAGATCCTCTCTGGAGCTAGCTGTGGGAGGCTTCAGGAAGATTCAGAACAGGGATAGGAAGAGCCGGGAGGGTGGACACTAAGACTCAATGGTGCCCCAAATTTTCAGGTGTCTTATGCAACCATGTAGGCTGCGTATCAGCCCTGCACCCAAGAGTTCTGAAGGGACTCAAATGTGAAATTGCAGAACTACTAGTGTAGTCTGTAACCTATAATTTAAATCAGCTTCTGTACCAAATGACTGGAGGATAGCTAATGTGATGCCAATTTTTAAAAAGGGCTCCAGAGGTGATCCTGGCAATTACAGGCTGGTAAGCCTGACTTCAGTACCGGGCAAACTGGTTGAAACTATTGTAAAAAACAAAATGGTCAGACACATAGATGAACATAATTTGTTGGGAAACAGTCAACATGGTTTTTGTAAAGGGAAATCATGCCTCACCAATCTACTAGAATTCTTTGAGGGGGGTCAACAAGCATGTGGACAAGGATGATCCAGTGGATACAGTGTATTTAAATTTTCAGAAAGCCTTTGACAAGGTCCCTCACCAAAGGCTCTTAAAGAAAGTAAGCAGTCATGGGATAAGGGGGATTGGTTTCTCTCATGGATTGGTAACTGGTTAAAAGATAGGAAACAAAGGGTAGGAATAAATGGTCAGTTTTCAGAATGGAGAAAGGTAAATAGTGGTGTCCCCCAGGGGTCTGTACTGGTCCCAGTCCTATTTAACACATTCATAAATGACCTGGAAAAAGGGGTAAACAGTGAGGTGGCAAAATCTGCAGATGATACAAAACTACTCAGGATAGCTAAGTCTCAAGCAGACGGCAAACAGCTACAAAAGGATCTCTCAAAACTGGGTGACTGGGCAACACAATATCAGGTGAAATTCAATGTTGATAAATGCAAAGTAATGCACACTGGAAAACATAATCCCAACTATACATATAAAATGATGGGGTATAAATTAGCTGTTACCACTCAAGAAAGAGATCTTGGAGTCATTGTGGATAGTTCTCTGAAAACATCCACTCAATGTGCAGTGACAGTCAAAAAAACTAACAGAATGTTGGGAATCATTAAGAAAGGGATGGATAATAAAACAGAAAATATCATATTGCCTCTATATAAATCCATGGTATGCCCACATCTTGAATACTGCGTGCAGATGTGGTCACCCCATCTCAAAAAAGATATATTGGACTTGGAAAAAGTTCGGAAAAGGGCAATAAAAATGATTGGGGTATGGAACAGCTGCGTATGAGATTAATAAAACGACTTTTCAGCTTAGAAAAGAGACAACTAACGGCGGATATGATAGAGGTTTATAAAATCATGACTGGTATGGAGAAAGGATGGTGTTCCATGAAGGAGGAGTTCTGGGCAGAGACGGGCTCCATCTTACGAAGAGAGGGAAGAGCATCTTTGCAAGCAGGCTGGCTAACCTAGTGAGGAGGGCTTTAAACTAGGTTCACCGGGGGAAGGAGACCAAAGCCCTGAGGTAAGTG